GAGCCATTTTAAATTTAAGAAGCCAAAGCCAGGTTTATAAGCTAAAAGTGGTTCTGGACATTTATAACAGTATATATATATATCCAGCCATCCATTCTCTAACCTCTTCATCCAGTTCAGGGTCACAAGGGAGCAGGAGCCTCTCCCTGCAAATAATCGGCACAAGGAAAGATATATATATATACACATCGATTTAAGATAAATTAAAATATATTATTTGGAATATATATATTATACATATTTAGGCACACAGGATGTTCAAATCCACATGCTGATTGAAGCATATTTATTAATATAATGGTATTAATATAACAAAAACAGCTTTAAACTGTTAAAAAAATAAAGCTTAGAAATCTTAATAAATAGGCTCATGTACCCATTACTTATAAAGATTAAACAGAAAATTATTTGATTTATTTGACAACTCTTTAAAGATATGCAGATTTGACATTTAAAGGAAAACTCTTGAAAATGAGCAATGTCACACTTAAATTCTGTTTTAATCAAGTATCTGTATTAACATTGTTAATGTAAAGAGTACGAGTTAATGTAAAGAACACGCTTTGTAAAACAATATTTTTAAAAAGCATAATATGAAAGCACTACTCTATTAAAATCAGCAGAAAGAATATTATGCCTCATTAAAAAACCTCCTTAATATGAGTTACTTATCACAATTAATATTTGCCACAAGTACTCTTATTCCCTATTTCTTTTGTAGTGTAACTTTTACATGAATTATAATAAAAGATATTTATGATATTAAAATAGTCCTTTTAAAGGTGCTAGGGTTGTAAAGTGTTGCCTTTCCTTAAAAGCTTACCTTATTCAGTTCTCGGGTGTTAATATTTCATGTTGGTTTGTATGTGCCGTTTTTATACTAATAACCCTCCAAAACCCCAGTGGCATCTCTCATTAATTACTACAGTATTTCCCTTTGGTGAGCAAACATGATACCATGCCATTCGGCAAGAGCATTACCAAAAGGAACAAAGGTTTAATTGCTGTCACTTTCAAACACCTTGCTTGTTGCATAAACATTGTGATTTATTCTTTCCATACAAATACAGCAAGCATATTTCAGCAATTTTCAACATGGAAATTAAATAGATCTCTATTTTGATCAAAATAATTTTTAACATATTTTAACCACAGCACACGTATTGACTCAATATGTTATTTCCATAATGGGAGTGATGATTTGATGAGAGAAATTCTGCCAGAGCCTCACAACATTTTCCAATAATACTCTTCTTGTGTCTAGTTTTTAGCAGGATTTGAGCTACAGTATATGAACATAATTATATTGTTATTAATTTCTTTAGATAAGAGATTCCTATTATATTCTGTATTAATCAAATTAATGTCAATATAGTGTTAATATTATTAGCTATTTTAGTTTTTCAAATAAATTTGTTTTGTTAAAAGAAAACTTATGGCAATAGCTGGGCTTGAACAAATAAAGCAGACATTTCCAGAGAAAGTGTACTACTGTGATAATTTGAGGTACAGTATATGAATATAATTATATTGTTATTAATTTCTTTAGATACACGAATCCATATCATATTCCATATTAATCAAATTCTAAAAAATATGCTTTTGTTAATTGCAATAACAAGTGTATTCGCAGAAAAGGTTAAAACATTATAATTTTTTACAAAGCATATAAACTTAATATAGTCAGAAGGAGCACGTAAGAACTTTTCCAAAAAACCCACAGTATGTAACCAAATGCAAGACTTCGATGCTTAAAATGTTTCAGAAGAAAGTGGAATACTGGTGTGTATTTTTTATTTAAAAAATATTCAATACTAAGTGGATTAAAACATGCACAGTAAAGAGATTAAATGATTAAATCATTTCACTAACAACCAATGCACCACGAGTGTCCCTGTCAGTCATTTTGGCCAGCCAATCACGTACTGAGATACACCGCGCTGGACTGTGGGTAATTGCGTTCGGTACGGGGTTGAAAGTGCATTTTGAATAGCTGCATCTGTATGTAAAGGGAAAATAATTTCCCACAGGATTATATATATGTAGAGAGCAAGGTGTACAAATAGACACACTGAAAACCCACCTCCTGGCATGCGATGTTTCCAAACATCAAAGTTTTAGATTGACACTCCTTTTTGAAAATGGCTCTCTCAACAAATAATAATTACAATACAATTTAATTAAGAAGTGCTTTTCAAGAAATTCAAAGTACGATACATTTTTAATAGCAGACGTACAACCAGATGCTGTAAGGGGTTTGTGAATTTACTGGGACAGTTTATTAATTGTAACAGTAGATCACGAGGCGATTCTTTTATGGGCATTAGAGGATCAATCATCAGAACAATCAGCAACACACACACGTGGATTCAAATACACGGAATACATTGTTTAATACATAATATTGTGCATATTAAAACATATAACAGTCGGCCTGGATACAGATGGCAGATTTAACTGTGAGGGTTACAAAGATATTGTAGAATATCACAAGAGATACGAAACACAAAGAGATACAAACAAGGAATTTGCTCCAGTATAACATTCGCCTATGCTATATCGTTAATCAGTCTCATTAATAGATTC